TACATATTTTTATTTCAGTACAATTTTTCTTTGTCATTTTTCCTCCCATCCCTTCATCTACACCTAACCTCACATAATCGTCTGAATTTTAGATTTCTAATTATCTCAACTTAATTCATTAACTTGTTAAAATTGTAATTTCCCTTTTTTATGAGTATTGTAAATATTGCACTCGTTTGTTTTTAGACGCATCAATAAATTTCTATCTTTTTAGTTATTGCTTTTGTAAAATGCATGTCTCGTGTAAGACTCGTCAGTCATACTCGACCGTGATCATTCATCTGCTAAATTGTTATAAAATCACCAATCGTTAGATTTTAACTTTTTGTTTTGRAGGTTTAAATTTTARGGTTTGACCTATAAGTTAACCTTGCCTTGACTTAGATCAGCCCCTTGAGAGGTTGTTTAGGGTTTGACCTATGAGTTAACCTTKCCTTGACTTAGATCAGCCCCTTGAGAGGTTGTTTAGGGTTTGACCTATAAGTTAACCTTGCCTTGACTTAGATCAGCCCCTTGAGAGGTTGTTTAGGGTTTGAAATATGAGTTAACCTTTCCTTGACTTAGATCACCCCCTTGAGAGGTTGTTTAGGGTTTGACCTATGAGWTAACCTTGCCTTGACTTAGATCAGCCCCTTGAGAGGATGTTTAGGGTTTGCCATTGGTTTACATTAAAAATAAAAACCTGCAAAAGCTTTGTGTATGATCCGTGAACATTTCATAAAAGTTAGGAGCAATATTAGAAACAGGTGCTCTTTGCTTGGACATTTATTGGTCAATATTATCCYGCCAATGATTGAGAGGTCCATCGATTCCACCAATAGTAAGCCGTCTTATCCTCAATATTCATTGAGTTATTAACCAACTCGGCCCGTTTGTACATTGTCATAAGAACATATGTCCTGTTCTCAACGAGAAAGCCTCTTCCTCTTCGAAGAACCAAAAGGTCTTCTTTTTTCCCCATTAATTCTTTCATACAATCTCMAACGCGTTGTCGCACCAAAGGGCGGGAAAAAACAGGACCAAAATACACCAGCCATCAATCGTAAGTTGATTTTCAAATTGTTAACAATGATACTCAGTGACTGAATTGTTGGTTTTCAAGCTAATTTAAGTTTAAAACCTATATAAGTTAGGAAAAATATTTTTATGAGCTTTGAAAAAATATTGTTTTTCCAAACGTTTTTTAACATCTTTTTGTTGTCAGTATCAAATGGCACAGCATAGAAAATAAAACAAATTCACCCCTAATTCCTCCTAGAAAAAAGTTTTTATTTATTTTGATGTTTAGATAAAGCATGATACTGATTTGATTTTCCAAATATCTTGTGCAGCATTTTTCAATTTCATTTCTTTTCCGTAAAATCCTCGGACTGAGTGCAAACTTAGATTAACTAAGTATCGCTACTATTCTAACTTCGTTTCTCTCTTCGATAATGAATATCAGCTTAAACTCCGGTTTAAAATTTCGAATACTTTTAAAATAAAAATCGCTTGGAATAAGAACAAATTTTCAAACTTCATGCAATTCTATTATTTTCGCTTTCTATACTTTGGATATCTTAATTTTAGTCTTTCAAGTTTTCACTGGTTAAACTTAATTCAGCCAAATTTACTTTAGATTTCGTTGAATGCGATAGCGTAAAGTAGAAACTGAAATATATACAATTTTAAGGTAAAATATTAAACATGAATAAGGTAAAGTAACTTTAAGTGTACGGCAAATCTAAGAAGTATTACTGCTACAGTATTAGTAAGCAATGTTTAGAAAATAGAATGGGATTATGTCATCAATAATATTCAGTGGAATTCGTTTTTCTAATCGTTTTTCTTACTCGTAGATCATTAGTCGTTTGCTTAATTAGAAAAATCTTCTCTTTCCCCTCAATCTTCATATATTTTTATTTACATAGTATTAATTTTATCATTCACTATTTGCTTTACACATTCACTTCGCTTCCTGGAATACTATCACCTGTTCAACAGACCCTTTTTGTCCTTCCTTTCGTCAAGACTATTTTTCTTCGCCTCCCTCCCCTCCCCTATAGTAATCGCATCCCTTCCCTATTGCCAGCAAAAATTATATTAAACATTAARTAACTCTTGTTTTACATTAAAAACTAGTGTTCTCTTTTTTCCAGAACTAAAACTTCGCCATTATGGAGGATGCAACATACATCGGCCTCACAT